TGAGCGACACGGGGGATGCGCAGCGCAGCTGCATTGCCAGCTCGGGCGGATTTGGCGGCACGGCGCCATCGTGTGTGGGGGTGCTGTGCAACCCACTGAGCGACCCGCAGAACGGGCACCTGCGCCTGAGCTCGACGCCAGCGCGGTACCCGGCGACGGCGGAGTTCTCGTGCGTGCCCGGATACGAGCTTGTTGGGCAGGCGCAGCTGTCGTGCAAGACGGACAAGACGTGGTCTGCGCCTGCGCCGACGTGCCGTGGAGTGCTGTGCACGGCGCCGAGCATTGACCACGCGCAGGTGTCGGCGACATCTGGGCGGTACCCTGCTGATGCGAGCGTGACGTGTGCACCTGGGTATGGGCTGGTTGGCGCGCCGACGCTGTCGTGCCGCACGGACGGGACGTGGGGCGAGCTGCCCTCGTGCCAGCTGTGCCCGGCCAACTCGTATGCGCCGTCGCCGACACAGCCGTGTGCTTCGTGCCCTTCTGGCACGTCGACCAACGGGCAGACGGGTGCGACCAAGTGCGAGTGCATTGCTGGACACGAGCCCAGCGGCGACGGAAGCACCTGCGTTCCCTGCCAAGGTGAGATGGCGACGGAAGTATGTGTGTGTGCATGTTGGAGAAGGATCTGTGTTGCTGTGAGGTCATGGCGAATGTTGCAGCGACGCACCGACGTCCTTGTGCTTGCATGCACTCGCACCTGATGTTGTCTCACATGTTCCCTGTGTGCCTCACGCCCAATGCGCTCTGTTGCGTGCTTGTGAACATCATCATCACCACCATCATCATCACCGCCGCGTGCCAGCCAACCACTTCAAGCCGGACTTTGGCTCCGTGTCGTGCCAGCCATGCCAATCTGGCCAATCTGGGTTCCAGACTGAGAACGGCGACTTTACCCGCTGCGTCGGTGTCCCTTGCGGCCCCGTGCAAGACGTGAGTCTTCTCCATGTGTGTGTGTGTGTGTGCATGCACGTTAGGCTGTGGGGTGCATGGAGAAGTCCAGGTGCATGTTTCGGTTGCATGCAGGCAAGCACGTTGCCTGCAGGCAAGCGAGACAAGCAAGGGTGTGTGGTTATTCATTGTGCTACACTTGACCGTCCTCACATTTTGTGTGCGTGTGCCCCTTGTGTACTGCACGTCCCTCCCAACCCCATGCAGATTGAGAACAGCGACCCAGAGAACACCATGATGCACCGGTACCCGGCCACTGTGTCGTATGAGTGCGACACGGGGTTCCAGCTTGTTGGCGATGTCAGTTCCATCACCTGCCAGACAGATGGCACGTGGTCTGCGCTTCCCTCCTGCACCTACATCTGCGGCGATGGTACGGCAATGTTGTCCTTGCTTGCGTACCCATGTTTGGTGTGTGTGTGCTTGTGTGTGCGTATATATTGTCCACAGGCAAGTGACAAGCTTATCTCGACACACCCATCACATCCATCATGTCCACCCCACATCTCCCACCAGTTGACACACACACACACACACACACACACACACACACACACACACACACACACACACACACACACACACACACACACACACACACACACACACACACACACACACGCACACACACGCACGCACAAGCGCACAAGCACGTCTATATTCTGCTTGCTGTTTCACCGTTGCTCGCAATTCAACTCCGTCTGCCCCTCACAAGTGTTGCTCGCTTGCGTTCGTCCAACACTGCTGGCACGTGTGCATGTGCATGCAACTAGGCCTCGTTGTTGACGGGGAGGAGTGCGACGACGGAAACACGGATGATGGCGATGGCTGCTCGTCCACGTGCCAGCTGGAGGATACACACGCGTGCGTGGACCCTGGCGAGGCGTGCGTGTACTGCAACTTCACGTCGCGGCCGGAGCGGCTGGTGCTTGCGTGCGACGACCCCATGCTGGACACAAAGGTGCAGACGTGGGCAGACGCAACCGGCAACGCAGAGGTGCTGGACCACGAGCACTGCGGCGACCCCTCGCTGTCGTACGTTGCGGGGAAGCCGCGCGGCACGGTGCCGGGGTGCTACCGCAGCGTGTACGAGTTCATGGTTGCGTTCAACGGCGGCAAGGTGATGGAGACGGCGACGGGCGTGGTGCGCGTGTACGACGACACCAAGCCGACGTTCCAAGACCCGCCGTCATCCACGACAGCAGACTGCCACAGCGTCCCCGCCTTTGCGGATGTGTCGGCATCGGACACGTGCATGGCGTCGTCGCCCGCAGTGAGCAAGCAGGAGGTGCGGACAGACGGGGCGTGCCCGTACGCATACACGCTGACGCGGACGTGGAACACGCAGGACGCGTGCGGCAACGAGAACGCGGCGACGCAGGTTGTGACGGTGCAGGACGTGACCAAGCCGACGTTCACCACGCGGCCCACAGACCGGGTGCTGGAGTGCTCTGCGGACGTGGACGCGGACATTGAGGCGCTGCGCATGAAGCACGTGGACGCGGCGGCAACGGACCTGTGCTCCGACACACTGTTGTTTGAGACGGTTGAGACAGCGCGGGACCTGAGCGGGTGCGGCGGCACGGGCCAGGTGTCGCTGAAGGTGACGGTGACCGACGAGTGCGGCAACCCGCAGGAGGAGACGGTGACCGTCGACGTGGTGGACAAGACAGCCCCAGTGCCCGTGAACGTGCCTGCGGATGTGACGGTGGAGTGCTCTGCGATCCCGCCCATTGCAGATGACGTGCATGCGAGGGACGCGTGCGGGTCGCGACGTGTGAATGCGACGGCGAGCGAGGAGCGGCAGGACGGGCCGTGCCCGCACAGCTACGACCTGCTTCGCACATTCACGTTTGTGGACGCGTGCGACAACCCGGTGAGCAGGACGCAGCGGGTGACGGTGCAGGACACGACGGGCCCCGTCATCACGCGGGACGCCGACGACCTGGAGCTGGAGTGCAGCGCAGAGCGCAACGACGCCACAATTGCGGCGTGGCTGGCGGTGAACGGCGGCGCGCAGGCCATGGACGCGTGCAGCGGCGTGCACACGCTGACGTGGACGCACGACTACGACCCGCAGTACTACGAGGTGTTCCCTGGCGGCTGCAGCGTGGGCACGGGCCAGGTGCTGGTGACGTTCACGGTTGCGGACGAGTGCGGGCGCACCAGCACGGTGAACGGCAGCATCAAGATTGTGGATACGCGGGAGCCCGCGTTTGTTGCGCCGCTGCCGCCGCTGACGGGGGCGTGCGACGCGGTGCCGCAGGCGACGGTGCCGCAGGCGTACGACAACTGCACGGGGGAGGTGACGCCGACGCAGACGACGACGCGGATGGACGGCGACTGCCCACACCAGTACCACCTGATCCACTCGTGGGTTGCGGAGGACGAGTGCGGCTGGACAACGACGACGCAGCAGACGGTGACGGTGACGGACGCTGCGGCGCCCACCATCACCAAGCAGAGCGCAGACAGGACGGTGGAGTGCTCGGTGGCGGACAACGAGGCGCGGCTGGATGCATTCCTGGCGGAGCACGGCGGCGCGCAGGCGACGGAGGTGTGCGGCGGCGTGACGTGGCTGTACTCTGACGTGGACACGGTGCTGGATTTGGCGCAGGGCGCGTCTGGGGACGTTGTGGCGCAGGACGGGTGCGGGACGACGTTCACGGCGACGGCGCACTTCTATGCCGTTGACGAGTGCAGCAACGCGGCGAGGACGACGGCGACGTTCACTGTGCAGGACACGCTGGCGCCCGTGCTTGACACGCCGCCGGCGGCGTCGATTGACGCGTCGTGCGATGCGGTGCCCGCGCTGAGCAACATCAGCGCAACGGACATGTGCGCGGGCGCGCTGGTGGCTGTTGCCAGCGAGGAGCGGCTGGACGGGCGGTGCACGCACACGTACACGCTGTCGCGGACGTGGATGGTGCAGGACCCGTGCGGGCACATGACAACCAAGTCGCAGCTGGTGCACGTGGACGACAGCGCGGAGCCCGTGATCACCAAGGAGGCGGAGGACCTGGTTGTGGAGTGCAACGCGGAGACGGACAGCGTGATTGCGGCGTGGCTGGAGGCGCACGGCAACGCGGCGGCGGCAGACGCGTGCGACCGGGAGCTGACGTGGCAGCACGACTTTGAGAGCGTCAAGTACCTGCTGCAGTACGGGTGCGGGTCGAACGCGGTGAACGTGACGTTCACGGTGATGGACGACTGCGGCAACGCGGCTGAGACGCAGGCGCGTGTGGTTGTGCAGGACACGACGGCGCCGTTCTTCACGCAGCTGCCGAGCGACGACCGCGCGGAGTGCGACCCGACGACAAACCAGAACACGCTGGATGCGTTCCTGGCGACGTACGGCGGCGCGCGGGCGTCTGACGTGTGCGGCAGCGTGGTTGGGCAGGACGTGGCGTGGTCGTACGTGGTGGACCTGCAGACGGTGTGCGGCAACGCGTACGACAGCG